GAAAGATTTCTATGGGAGGCACAATGCGGATTTAGACCTGGAAGAGGATGCACGGATCAAATGTTTTCTCTCCGCATGATCACGGAAAAGTTTCTGGCTGCTAACCAGAAGATTTTCTGTGCTTTTGTGGATCTTGAGAAAGCATTTGATAAGGTTGTAAGGAAGAAAATGTGGGAACTGTTGCCGAGGTATGGTGTGGATGGTCGATTGCTAAGGGCTGTGCAGTCTCTTTACTGTGACTGTAAAGCCTGTGTGCGGGTAGGGCATGACCTGTCACCCATGTTTAGCGTCTAAACGGGCGTAAAGCAGGGTTGTGTCATGTCTTCCTGGCTGTTCATACTGTATCTTGACAGCTGTTTACAAAAGCTGAAAGAAAAGCTGTTTGGGTGTGAAATTGGGTGACATTAAAGTAAATTGTCTGCTGTATGCTGATGATGCAGTGCTTATTGCACCATCAGAGGCAGAACTGCAGGCATTAGTCACGTGTATGAAAGAGGAATGTGAAATTAAAGGTCTCCGTTTGAACGCTAATAAAACTAAGGTTCTGGTATTTGAAAGGGACGAAGAGAGAACGAAGTGTGAAATATGGGTAAATCAGGAATGTCTAGAACAAGTAATTGAAATTGTATACTTGGGGAGTGCTTTTAGCCGGGATGGAAGATGTGATTTAGATGTGGACAGGCGTGTCGCTGCCGGGAACAAAGTCAATGGAGCCCTGACTGCGTTAGTCAAAAGGCAAGGCGTAGTGAAGAGTGCACGCCTTGCAATACATAACGCAGTGTTGGTACCGAATTTGTTATATGGCAGCGAAACCTGAGTATGCCAGAAGAAGCATAAAAGCAAGTTGAATGCAGTGGAGATGCGATCTCTTCGTAAAATGTGCGGCGTTACCATGGCCGACCGAAAGCGAAACGAAGAGATTCGCAATATGGCAGGTTTGAAAGATGACCTTATCACAAAAATTGATAAGGGCGTGCTTCGGTGGTTTGGGCACGTTGAGCGAATGAGTGAAGACCGAATGGTGAAGAAAATATATAGTGCGAAAGTTAATATTAAAAGGTGTCGAGGTAGACCGAGACTAACTTTCGAAGACCATGTGAGCAAATTGCTCGAAGAGGGTAGGGTCAAGAGTATTCGGATACCTAGACGTGCATGTATGAAGAAGATAATGAATCTTAAAGAAGCGAAAGAGGTTTGTAAGGATCGTGACACTTGGCGATCTGTTCTCTCTGGCTACCCCGTCAGTGATTGTGCGTGAAGATAAGTAAGGATTTGAAATGAAATATATTAATTTCTTCGACGTAAGGAAATAAATTTCGTTCGACAAATGTAATTTTTTATACCTGCTAAATCTAAGTATACCATTACGAAATGAAGTTTTGAGCGGAAAATAAATGGAGAAAGAAATTCCGCAGGTACGTAGGTTACTCAATAAGTTTTAAGATGCTCGAATTTTAAAAATGAAACGCACCCGTTGCAAAAAGCAAATTTATTAAAAAATAGAACTCCTTAAGCCAAATGCTCAATATTTAAAAAAAAAGTTCTATTTTTTTTTTTTTTTTTATAGGATAAGGGTGACAAACGAGCACACAGTCCACCTGATGGTAAGTGGTTGCTGCGGCCCATAGACATCTACATCTATCCTCTGTTACAAATCAAAATGTAGATGCGTTGTCACCCGTGAGGACTAAGATGGAATGCCTCATTTCCAGTAAAAAGGGCCTCCGGCCACCTGCACTCACCAAGCGAAACGCAGAGGTAAACCTCTACTTCACGCTGGTTTTCTGTGAGGTCGTGGTACTTACCCCGGTTCGAGCCGGCCCCATTAATTTTCCTGCAACGCTTCCCGCACTTTTCATTTAAAACGATGGATCTTGACCGTGAACATTTGCGCACTATGATATATTATGATTTTAAATTTGGTTTAACCGAATAATTAAGACTCAGCTCTATCACGCGCAACAATTTTAAGGTGGTTTCAAAAGGGGTAAAATTAATCTTAAAGATGACCATAGAACCGGGGCCCTTACAGGAGGATACAATTACAGCGGAGTTTCAGCAGGAGCAGAAGTGCGGTGGTCTTGTTCTTCAAGAAAGGCGACAACGCTCTCTTGAAGAACTACAGACCGATTTCCCTTCTGAGCCGCGTCTACATGCTAGTGGTGTAGTTGTACCACTTCTAGACCACCTGAGTCAGACGTGGTTCAACGACGTTCGTCGACGCCCGATCCTAAAAAAAAAAAAAAAAAAAGTTTTGGCATGCTCTGATCACGAATCCGCGGTCCATTTTTGTGTAGAATGCACGGTTCCGGAGATGTGTAGATCAATTAGCTAATATCTAATTGATATCCGGTAAGGGCCTCCACCGTCATTAGCGTCCCATTGTTCCTATTTCTATTGTTCTATTGTTCATTAATCACCCTCATTGCAGCGTGTGCGTCGACTATATCAGTGCTATTGTTTATTATAATTCTTTGTTTATACAACGCTTATCTGAATCATCAATAAAACACATTACATAATTTTGTTACAATTTTTATTTATAAAATACAAAATCTTATTAATTATTATCTATAAAATAGGAGCGAAACATCTCATCCACTAAAATATCGTTGTACAATGTGTTCCTTGTAAATATACTCGTAAAACTATGTATTGAACATCCTTGAAATTTATATAGCAAATACATTAAGCAATATTCGCCACAAACTGAAGTCCACTCATTCTGAATCCTATCAACATTCCAGTTCCATCTTTTACAATTCCTTTTTAAAAACTCTAGATGATATCGTACAGGTGATCGTCCATATGAATCAAAATATTGACCGACGTCATTCGTATCGATATATAAAGCTACCCAATGTGACCCTGGTTTATCATCTGTATCCAAATTACATATTATATACGTTGGTACGTGGGTATACATAGGCAGTCTATTAGCTGCATAAACATTATTTTCTAGACTGGGGTGAATCTTTTTCAGATGTTGTTGTACATCTAGTGTATCCATGATATTACTGCTATTAGTAGATTATTACAGTACCTAGCTACTCAATGAATAACATAGGAATGGTCAATTATAGTGATTTCTACATATTAAATTGCATTTTTGTGATATACAAATCGTACTTGAGTCACTGATCACCAAACAAAACACAATACGAAGAAATGTTGAGATAGGCAACGGAAATGTGAGATAAACTGATATGTTTCTAAATATTAAATTGCATTTTTGTGTTATACAAATCGTACTTGAGTCATTGATCACCAAACAAAACACAATACGAAGAAATGTTGAGATAGGCAACGGAAATGTGAGATAAACTGGTTGACGCATAAAGTAATTATCAACTCATTACGGAAATACTTTAGATTAGAATTTTTACGTACTGGTGGTATATAAGACCAACAAACGCAGTCATCGAGTTAGTGTACGGTCGTTTGGCTACAGTGGATCTATCAATAGTACATTTGTGTTACTTCAATACACCAAAGGCTATGGATGTAAGTGTTTATTCTATTGACTAAATTACTTTTTTTCTGTTATTTTCATGTGTGTGTATTATTTTATTTAAATATTGTGTATGTATATGATTAAGCCGTGGTAACTCAGATGGTTAGCGCTAGCTGTAAATTTCACAGTACGCGACCCGGGTTCGATCCCCGCCAGCACCAATTAAATTGTTAATAGCAATTTTAAGTGCTTATTACCACGTGCTTGGTGGTGAAGGAAAACATCGTGAGGAAACCTGCATGTCTGAGAAAATTTCGAAGGCATGTGAAGTTCGCCAACACACATTGAGGGAGCGCGGCGGACATTTCCTTGCTCTAAAACCCTCTCAGAAATGAGAGGAGGCCTATGTTCAGCAGTGGACTTTAATAGGCTGTAACTTTAACTTTTTTAACTTTTATGATTAAGTGTTAACAAATTGATATTAACATGATAACTGTGTTGTTGCAGAAATCATTGAGCTTCGATGAAGATACCTATAAACAGTATTACTACTCGCCACTCTCCCCTCAAGAAGAGAGTGATAACCTCGTCATTAATAATAACACATGCGATGGTGGAAAAAGAAAATCGCAATCGATTGATCATTTTTTTGAAGCTGAATCAAAAATAAAAAAGAGGAAGCTGTTATCATCAACCGTAGCACGAGCCGCTAGAGATGGTGTATCATACATTTCTACTAATTCTGACGACGGAGACCAAGCGACGCATCTCATCAAAATTGAAATGTACGATATGAAGAAGCTATCCAAGATTCCAACTACTGATCATTGGAAACATGCTTCCACGAGAATCAAATATTACGTAAAGACTAATAAGGATAGCATCTACGACAATACAAACGCCCTCGTACACAATATAACAAAGACAATAGCAGAAAGTGAAAAAGTTAAAAAATACTTTTTTAACAATGACAGTCATTAGCTGATCATTAGTGAATGTGATTCTGTTTACTTCAATTACAGGAAGACAAGAGCGGAAGGAAGAGATGAGTGTGGCATACGTGTACAAAACACATCATTGAATAACAAAACTACAACACTGAGTGGAGAAGAAAACGAGAAGAGTATGCAGTACTCAAGAGCTGAATATCCATTCTTCAGTTCAAAATCTAGCCGTTTGCTTAGTTTCGAAAACTGGCCTCTAGTTATGCGACAGAAACCTGAAGATCTTGCCGAAGCTGGTTTCTTTTATACTGGCCATGCAGACGGGACCAAGTGTTTCCATTGTGGTGGTGGTTTAAAAGATTGGGAAGATGATGATGATCCTTGGCAGCAGCATGTTCAGTGGTTTAGTCAGTGTGCTTATGTAAAATTTCAACTCGAACAGTGTTTTGTATTAGATTAAATAGAAGATTTATAAAGAAATAAAAAAAATATATTGCATACAATTTGTTTTATTTAATTTTATAACGTTTCACATAGTTACATACACACAAAATGCATTACACATAACACATAAAATCTAACACACAACACATATTATAACCTTAACTACTATAGTCTACAGTAACATTTCTGTTTTTATCTATCTCAATAATATTATCAAACTCAGCATAAACTATACAGTTAATTGTTTGTATTAATGAGGATTCAAATCGTACTTCTATTCTTACACTACCATGCTTTATGAGATTCCAATGAGTTGATGAGTTAGCTGATAAATCAGGAGTTAAGTCAAATGCTAATAGACAGTAACCTTTGCCATACTGTTCACAAGAGATTCCATTTCCTTCATTAAGAAAGTGAATACCAGTTCCCGAGAATAGAGTATGATATGCTGATGTAAATATGCTATTATTAAAAGATGGTTGCAAAGCTTTTGAAGGTATTTGTTGACCATCAATATATAAGCTGAAAGAATTAATACCATAGTTTTCAAAGTTAAATGGATTTTTAGTAAGGGAACCATTAAATGCAGAATTGTTCACAAATCCAATTATACATCTTTTCGGTACCTGTCCTAAAAATATATTATCAAGAGTTTTTCCTTGAACACCTGAAGGAATTGTTAAAACTTTTACTTCAGCTCGAGTAATAGGATATTTAGCAGTGGTAGAAGCTAAAACTTTTTGATGTGCGAGTAATACACTTGGATTAATTCGTGCTCGTCGCACAATAAGAGTTGCGTCCGTAATGCAAACTTTAAACTTTACATCGTTCGACCCAACAATTAAATTAAAACTCTCTCTTGATCGAATCAATTTAACACTCATTTCAACACCATTAATTAAAAATTTATCTTGGTTAAAAATGTCACCGTGAAGATGACCAATCATTTCTATTTCCTTACTTTCACTAATCAATTCCTGTCTTTTAACAAATCCTATGTTTTTACCATCTATAGAATCCATTTTTCCTGCTGTATCCTCATACCAAAGACTACAAGTAAGATGAGATTGTTTAGCAGCAGGGGCATAGTTTAAAAGGGTTTCCATGTATGCTCGATATGCATAGGTATTATTAGGTGGTGATACAAGTTTTTGGTTTAAATAAACATCAAGTTGACTAAAAAGTGAATGCAGCCAATTATTTACAGGTGCTACTATTGTAGTAGATACCAAGTTAGTTGAATCTTGATTTAATACTTTTGCCTTTATGTGGAGTAATGTATGAGACAAATCTATGTAGTCATCGCCGGTCCCAGGAACTTGAAACTCGATAGGTCCATCATCACCAAGAGATGAAATTGGTTTATAATGAATCCACAATCCATTTTCAATGCTAGTTTGTGTAGACGGTAGTGCAAACAAATCCAATTCTGACTTAACGCACTCGCAAGAATGATTATGAAGGAAAGACATATTTAGTTTGAAAATATATCTTTGATATTTTTTGGTTTTAGACTAAGTTTTTTCGCAGCTTTCACTTTAGCAGTTAATGGTGGAATGAACGATGTCAATCGTTTTCTTTTAGTTTTATACCCAGATCCAGTCATGTTAAATTGATCAATTTTCTCATCAGCCTTTCGTTTTAAATTCGTACTAACTTGCTTTAGACGATCTTTTATTGAGGCTTCCATAGGACGGGCTTGAACCATATCCGATAAAAGTCCTACTCCAGCGCTTAATGCCTCCTTACCAATCACTCGAGCACCACTTGAAAGTAAAGGTAAAACTGATCTGAATAACCCCCCTAAGAAGCTCCCAATACCATGACCGCGTTGATATGGTGAACCCTTATAAATTACTCCAACTCCTGATCCAGCTTGATGTGTATAATAATTTTCATATGGACATTTATGATGATCACGAAGAGAATTCATTATTATAATTTTCGGAAATGTAGTTTAATACACACGGTTCCAAACTGGAATGGTATTTTTTGTCCTGTACTCGATCTTATAACTATTTCCAACGTATCGAACTCTCTTCGCATAACAGGTAAGTAGTAAGGTTGAGAGAAAACGTGCATTTTATTTGCACCATAAATGTATTTTGTAGGATCTAATGAAATGACTCTTAATAAAGGAGTCATAACATCACCCACAATCTGAGGATCGATAATATCGCAATATAGAAATAGTTGAGATGGTAACCCTAAGTGTAAATTAGCAGGACACTTTCCAAAATTTCTCTCTAGGAGATTTTTATTTGGTTCATAACCTAGCTGTAAACTTAATTTGGGTGATAATGTTACGGATGTTATATTTTTATCCAATACCGAAATAGACACAAATTTTGTTATTTCATTATAGCGAAATTTCAAGTTCTCTCCGATACCATTTAACACTCTTAAAATATGCTCAACGTTATCATAGTTGGTAGCTGGAATATGTTTTTTGTAGTACACTGTGGATGGCTTATCTTCATTAGGCATTAACATAGATTTTGTAATGTATATAACATTTTCATGGTCTTGAACAGTAAACATGGTACATGGATATTGAAACTCGACAACTCCAACCGACCATTCACCTTCTAATTTTATAGCTTTTGGTAATTTCGTTGAAAAATTTGTGGTCTTGTTATCAGGAAAGTATTCCATTGAACTATTGCTGAGCAAAGTTAAATAGAAACTTTCTTTATTCATATTTCTTTTAAACTAGAAGCTAAAATCCAACTGTTAAATTTATCTGGATAACCTTTCCACTTCACTAATACTTCTTCTCTGTTACCTGAATAACGAGTGTCAATTATTTTATCTATTTTATGTTGTGAGGTGGGGTTGTAAGTGATTTTCTGTAATTCTCTTTCATAAAAAGTACCAATTATTGGTTCATTTTGTAAATCTGTTATTGTATAAACAACCCATGGAGATCTATCAATTATTGAAGATATAATAAATATTTCATCACTCCAATTTGATTCATATCCTTTTTGGAATACATGTTTATATTTAGTTATTCGAACATAATCACCCACATTGAAATTTGGTTTAGGATTTTCTAAAGAAAGTTTTTTTGACCGTCTATCATAAAGATTAGTCCAAACTGTCATAATATTGTTGGAATTTACATCACATGGGCACATCTTAATACTAGAGTGAAAGCTGTGATTATAAGAGTATATTAAATCTTGTAAAACATCTATATATCTATAAGTATTATTATGAGTGAAATAACGCCACATTTTCATTTTTAGTGTTCTTTGAAATCGTTCAACAATACTGGCCTTAATGTCAGGATTGTTAGTGGTATAGTAATTAATCTTTTTGGATTTAAAGTATTTTTGTACATCTTTTGAAACAAATTCGGTACCTTTATCGGATTGTATGTGAGTAGGTGTTAAATTACTTTCAGTAAATATACTTTCAAAACATTCTTTAGTTGTTTCTGAGTTTTTCTTTTTCATTGGTCTTGCAAAAGCATATTTACTAAATACATCAATAATACAAAGTATATACTTGAAACCATCATTATATTGAGAATAAGTTCGCATATCACTTAAATCAGCTTGCCACAGTTCATTAATATTTGATAGAATGTACCTATTACGCGGGAATTTTTTTCGAATGGGTTTATGTAATGTGTATGTTTCTTGTGATTTTAACCATTCCTTTACTTGCTTTTTATTCATTTTACCCTTCATGGCTTTTGATAATTTATCAATACTACCAAAACCAGCGGGATTAGATGGATCATAATAAATCCTGTTAATTTCTTCTAGTACGGAGTCCATTTTTCCCACTCAAGTCCTTTACGTATTTTAGTTGTAGACTTTTTATCTCTACTGCACGGTGTAGAAAACTCTTGAACTTCAATCTCAGAGGGTTTGTTCAGATCTTTTGCTTGAAGTTGGTTAATAAACTCACATCTCCTTGGATTTCCAATATAAGTAAGTGGTACTTTAATATCTTTTAATGCTTCAGCAAATCTAACCCACCCTACCGGATCACTTCTTTTTAGGGGTCTTAGTGAATCATTTATTAAATCAACAATATTACTTCCAGGAATTTTTTCACTATCAATTATAACTGTACCTTCGTTATCCCAATGTATTTTACTTTTACTTGTTTCAACTAAGTTTAATAATAACTGCCCTTTTTTATGATAAGTTTTTGGTATTAAACTGAGTATTTGAGCTGGTGTGTAAAGTGGATTTTCATCATTTTCTTTACTTTTAATGGATCGATTCTCCTCCAGCAAAGATTCAATATCAACTGAAGTTTTTAGATCTCTATCTTTATTTTTAAAACCAATTTTTGACTCATTTGAATCTTCATTAGATGTATCAGAATAAATTGGTAATTTGAGTGGTTGACGATCCTCTTCGGTAAAATGAAGGTATCTTTGCAGTGTTTGTAAATATAATATCCATTTCTTTCGGTCTTCCGTCTTACTATTCATAATATTTTGCATTTCAATATCTAATCGAGATAAATTACTATTAACCTTATTTTCTTGTTTTAATTTTTCAATCAATCCAGGTTCGATAAGTATCATTTTCTTTGCATTTTCCATGTTAACTGGCTAGTCCACTCACTAATCCACTCAATATTGCACCTAATATTGTTGGTAAGAAAGCCCCTCCTTTTTGTATAATTATATTTTTTCTTAGTTTATGTTTACACTTACGTACTAGTTTACGGAGTATGTTTTTATGTTTATTCAATTTTTGTTTATCCTGATCTTTAAGAGGTACTTTTCCTTGTAAAACGTTATGAATACACTCACAAATACAGTTAATTTCTTCTTCATCACACGTTTTAAGTAATGCTCTTTGATATTTTGGTTTAAGCGTATGCAAAGCGGTTAGCAAATGTTTATACGTTGTGAGTCGACGATGCATCATTTAGCAATGATTTCAATTGTTTGATTCTTGGTGTATTTAAACTCTTTTGTGGGGACGTAGACTGTACAGAAACCATTAAATGGAAAGACATTTGTCTTGATACGACAAAAATCATTGGTATTCTGTTTTAAATCTACCATTAAATATCCATGTGCCTCTAGAGTTGCATCCCTGTAGGCATTTTCAATGAATTTTGGGTTATCTGGTGATACTTGTCTTGCTAAATATCTTATTTGAGTTTTATCTCGAGGGTTTTTAAAATATATTATATAACTTGAGTTTAAAGATATGTCTTTTTGTCCTTTACCCTGATGAAATAAATTTTGTGTTAGATAAAATACACTAAGATTCCTGTGATGACTACCTTTTGTAAATATATCCACAATTCTTCCATCGGACTCTCTCATTAGATCATCAATAATAACAAGATGTGGGTTTTCACCATCAAACATATTAAGATTTGGAATTCCTTGATGATAGTTAACATTTGGTAAATTATATAATGGTTGCATTTCATCAAAGCACCATGTGATCTGATTAAAATCACAATTACATATTTCTGTAACTGATTTTATGAAATTTGTTACAAAATTTGACTTCCCACACCCACTTGGTCCTGCCACAATAGCAGTGAACGGATGGATAAAGTGAAACATAACACACGTCTAAAGTTCAAAGGGGTGAAATAAAAAATGAAAGTGTTGGTGTAAACAATTAATATATATTCCAAAAATTATATAAAACAGAATTATCTGTATACTATTTCTAACACAATTAGTACATCATAATTTTACAATTAACTCAACCTCAAATAAATAGAAACAACAATTAGTACATCATAATTTTACAATTAACTCAACCTCAAATAAATTGAAACAACAATTAACTTAAATTATTTACAATAAAACAATGTTTAAATATGTAATAAACTACGTCATATTATAGTATTATCATAATTTTACAATCAATATAAATTTTTCTTAAACGCAGACATAAAAGTAAAAACTATCAACACTTAACGCAGTTTATAATGACCCCAAGCTAATGTTTCAATATTATTATCTAAAATATGTCTCTTTGTGTCATTATATGATAAACCTATCTTATTTAATTTTTGTGTGAAAATTGTGTGTTTAATTGATTTAAATCTAAGCATACTATAATATTGCACTTTTTTATTAAATAGAGAAGACTTATAACTATTCATTGTCATCTTTTTAGTGATACATTTATTTACCCCTTTTGCCTTGGCTATAGTCTTATTCTCTAAGTTAAAAGCGTACATTTTGGATCGTAAACCCACAAATTCTTTCATGATTTTACCATTATTTTCATCTTTAAAAAACCTAATTTCTTTTTATTTAATTTTGGATATTCAAAAATATTATTTGTATCATAATCTGAGGTATCAAAGTATGATGAAAGGTCAGGTTTTATATCAGTGTAAAAATCATTTGTAAATATATGATATATTAAACTATCCGTATCTGTATACAATAATTTGATTTTACTAAACTTTTTAATCATATAGTTATAATGAAAATCATACATTAATGTTTTTGAAATATCTA